AGTCTCTCATCTCTGGCTGGCTCTTCTTCCGCTACATGGCTATTGGTGGCTATGTTGGCTGTGCCACTGTCTTTGCTGCCTCCTGGTGGTTCATGTATGACCCCACTGGCCCTCAGCTCAACTACTACCAACTGTCCCACCATCTGTCCTGCTTGGGTGATGAGAAGAACTTCGAAGGTCTGGATTGCAACATCTTCAGCCACCCAGCACCCATGACCATGGCTCTTTCCGTGCTTGTCACCATTGAGATGCTCAATGCTCTTAACAGGTCAGGATAGAGTTTGTGTACATGTCAGTAATGCCATTAAGTACTGTAATACATCTGTGGAAGGCTTTTCTGTCATTCCCATCAGCAATATAGAGTCGAGATTAGAACAATGAAATTTTATCATCACTTCAGTGTGGAATCTGAATGAGTTGGTTCTTCTTCTGTTCAATCGTACCTCCATTTCTCCTGCAGCTTGTCAGAGAACCAGTCACTAATCGTGATGCCCCCCTGGGTCAACATCTGGCTGCTGGCGGCTATGGCCCTCTCCATGACCCTGCACTTCATCATCTTGTACATTGATATCCTTAGTGTAAGTTAGAGTTTCAGTTCTTCTTTTAGAGGAATCCTTACCAAGCGAGATTCAGTCGCTTTTATTACTGCTTATCTTAAGTTTGATTTTTCTTTTCTTTTCTTTTTTTTTTTTTCTTCTTCTTGTAAAATGTATTTCTTGAAAAAAATGTTGTTTTCTTAGACAGTTTATATTAATTTCACTTTGGAATTACGTATAATTGTGAGGCATATGATCTACTGTCGTTCCATCTGATTTTCTTTAGTTTTACATTCTCGTCCCTCTTACTTTTCAAAGTGTGTTCAGGTGAATACTTCATGCCTACAAGGTGATGGTGGATTCAACTACTTTTTTTCTAATTTTTTTTGATTTTCTCATTTTTTTCCCAAAATTGACTAATCTGTTCTTGGGGTGTTCAGACTGTGTTCCAGGTGATGCCCCTCACGACCGCACAGTGGATAGCTGTATTGAAGATCTCCCTCCCTGTGGTGCTGTTGGATGAGACCCTCAAGTTTGTTGCTCGCAAGTACACTGATGGTGAGAATCCAATCTATTCCTGCCACTGGACTGTGCTAGCCTGGGCTATCTATTTTGCCTATATCTGGATATACTTCTTCTAACCTCAGTCACCACCCTAACTTATATATATATATATATATGTATAAACACTGTCACGAATCAGACTCTCAAGATGTAGAAAACTAAAAGGGGTTTGAGGAACACTGTGGTCCAAGTGCAAAGAATGTTTCCATTATCAGTATTCCCTTTGGGTTGTAGGATTTTGAGACAATTCTCAGATGTAGTGAACTTTTTGTTTATTTGTTTTTATTATTATTATTATTATTATTATCATCATTATTATTTTTATTATTATTTTTGGTGTTAAATTTGGCCACTGTGCTCCCAGCCCCTGATTAAGGTACAAGTGGGAAAAGACTCAGGGTGAGTGATAGAAAGAAAGAACTGTTGTCAGCCCTCAACTCACAGTGTGGGTTTGTTCATGCTGCCACTTCGGCTGCCAAATTGCCAGTGCCCTTTACTGCTGTTGCCACTGCTGTTTGCTTAGCGGGGGGCTGTATGTCAGCGTCAGTGTACATAAAAGTGACGTGCTGAATGTGTTTAGGCATATGACCACAAGCCATTAACATTAGTGGAGTATTGCACGACCAAAGTTGTCGAGAGCCAAAGCAGAGAGCACCTTCACTTGCAAGGGAAGTCCTGCTCCGGTTCTGTCCCATCCACTGAGGATGACTTAACTTATTTTGCCTTGAGATGCAGGCTTCAAGACATGTTGTTTAATTGATTGCTTGAAGTCGTAATGAATGCTGCCATGTTAGGGATAGGCAGTTTTTTATCATTATTATTATTATTATTATTATCATTATTATTATTATTATTATTATTATTATCATCATCATCGTTATTATTCACTGTCTGGGTGAGTGCAGATACAAGTTTTATTGGTAAGAAAAGTTTAAAAATTTAGATGTTTAAATATATATATTTTATGGTTGTTAAACAATAAACAAAATTGCATTTGTAGGCTACCTATAGTGAGAAGTGAAATATTGTTTGAAATTTAACCTGTGCCTTTATTTAGTTTGATGCCATCTGGTTCCCGGCCTCCTCCTTTTCCTCCCAGCATGTGCCTGGATGAGAACTTGTGGATGGTTCAAGTTTTTGTAGAGTATTTGATTAAAATTACAGTATTCCCTAGTTGTGTGTGATGTAAAGATCATTGACTGCAACTGGTAATAACATGTGGATATGTGCAATGGATAATGTAAGTCTTCTTTTTATCATTCTCATGACACGTATGGAGTACATGAACCCTATGGTGCATTAGTGAATTCTTGCGGGTACCCAGTTTGATGCTGCACATGCAGAGTCTCCCTCTCCACAACAAGTAGATGTTTCTTCACTGTTACTGCAAACACTTTAGGGTGTATCAAGGTTCTAAGCAGCTAAAGCATTAAAGAGAATGCTGCATTGCAATAATTCTCAGTATTTTTGTTAGTTGGTTTGACTGTAATCAAAGGGCAAGGTTTTTAGTTGTTTCTGCCGGAGAGCATGTGATTTTTCCCATCCACCATTACCCATTGCATACATGGAACCTGCTGTGTAAAAATCCACTATTTAAGGACTGTGAGTTGTTTGCATGGCATAATTGGTTCTTTGACATTGAAATAAATCTATCCTCTTTCCCCCTTTATTTATTATTCCAGGTCATTTTTTTTAACTGTTCAGTAACCTGTAATATCCAAAGACCCACAAACCTTACTCTTGCTAAAAAAAAATTCTTAGTATTGTTCCTCATTAAACCAAGTTGACCACTTTTTATTTTATCATATTGTAACACTGTATATAATGTTTAGGGAAGTGTGTGGATACTTCAGTTATTGAAAAAATAGGATCCATATCATAGTTAGATCCTTCAGTATTATTACCCTTGCTGTATGAATACTGTATTAAGAAAGCAATATCCTCAATGTTAGAAATCCATATATATGAGTGTCACTACCAGCAAATGCAAGTGTTTACCAAGCTGTGTCCTGTTTGACATAACAGTAGAACATTCTTGAAGGTTCCCAGATACTTCCACCTGTAATCACTGACACAATCATATGTGGAGGCCTGGAACCCTTCCCAGCCACAGCTCCCACTACTACTACTACTACTACTACTTCTTGTACTACTACTACTGTTACCACCAAACTACCACTGAATCCTCCACCTCCACCTGAAAGCCCCAGAAACCACAGGGCGTAAATGGAAATCCAGACCACCATACCCACCAATGAACTCCCTTCAACTTTACCTCCTTCTCCAACCACCTTTCGGGGTCGAGGTCCTGAAGACTGCAGTGTTTGTGTGTGTGGTCGAAACCCAGTGAAGAGGAACTGCGACTCTCTCTCTCCCATGGTTTTTCTTTTTCCCTTTTCGTTTCCAACAAGTCTTCTTTCATTTCCCTCCCGCCCTTCATCTTAAACTTCTCCGACTGGCCCCCCTTTCCACTTTTCTTCCTTTCTTCTCTCATTTACTGCAACCCCTGAATCCTGTTCCTGCTCTGCAAACCCCCAAGACACTCACACCAACACAACTGTTGTGAGTATTAAGGATATATATATATATATTTACATATGATTCCCCCCCCCCCCCCCCCTTTTTTTTGCCTCCTTGTAACTGTGTTCATCTATCATCCATTTATTTTTATGGTAAATTCATATACGACTCCCCTTTCCTTCCCCTCATGCCATTTTTGACACAATTAGGTACCTGTCAAGGCAATTTTGAAGTTGTAACTTTTATGATGATAGTATCAGAGATCTTCACAAATATTCTTTGCCTTGTCATGGTGGAACATATTTTCATCCATTGTAGTTAGTTATTTTTACTTGAATTAGTTCTAAGTGTTAGAAATCATTCCCTGTGTTAGCACTGCATTGAAAGGAATATGGAGGCACAAAAAGATAGCTATATCTTCTTGTGTATATAACTTGCAGTTCCTCCCTTGTAGCCCCTGCCCTTTGAATTAACCCTTTTCCCAAATGAATCCAGTTATTATTGGTAGAATGCCAAGTGAAGTGCAAGGATTGCTTGATAAACTAATACAGTATGTAACTGTTGAGCCGTCTTGTTGGCGACTGAGGAAGTTGTCAAGAGACTCTGTCTGTGTCACTAAAGATCACCTCTGTTGTGTCAGCCAAAACTAACTCCTTATGCAAATCATTTTTCACTTTTTCAACATTTTACTATACATTTTTATGACATATAAATGGAAAAACGCATGTGAAGTGTTGGAAGTGTTTAAAAAGAATACAGGTATTGGTATCCTATTTTACTAAAGAAAAAAGAAAAATAGATAAGTGCTACTTGTGATAAAAATATATTTTGTGGTAATAACTGTTGGTGCAAGGTCATACAGTACATTTAAACTTTTCATTCTTTCCACGTAAAAAAAAAAGTGAAAAAAGCAAACAGAAGCCAAAACAATTGGTCACTGCGTCTATTCCATTTATGTATTTTTCTTTTCTTTTTTATGGTCCTTTATAAGCTGTGATGTCTTTACGAGTTTTGTTAAGAAAAAATAATAAATCATTGTTAAAAAGTTGAACATACAGAGTTTGTGTACCTAGTGTGGAACCGCCTGTGATTGGAAAGACGTCCAGGAGGTGGTTCTCTGTTTCACATGTAGAGTGTGGAGTGTGACTAACATACCCTGCAGCCTTACCTTGGATCCTTAAGGTGAGATAATCCTGTCTTCTGTTGACAAGCATGTGCATTTTTCTTAGTAATAGAGTTCTTAGAGATAAAATCCATAGAGGCAGGTAGTCATCTGGTAGACAGTTAGATTATAGTGAGATGATGGATTAGCTAGTAGGTTGTGTTCTGTTAGCCATTTCTAAGAGTTAGTTCTATTTGTGTTTAATGGAATATGTGTGTTTATGGGCCTTCTTCTTTTGCAGGTCTATTTATTATGTTTAAAACTTTCTTTTCCAGATACGTTATTTTTTTGTTGTGGTGGTGTTTTCAACTATTTAGATATTTAGATGTTATATTTTATATTGCCCCAGAATAGGTTATGATTTCAAAAATGGTAATGTTAGGTCTTGGATAAAGAGTTTGCACATATATCTAGGTATTTTTATAAATAAGATGCTATTTTTGAAAGTTTATTTATTTGTTTTACTATTTTAGCATTTATTTATATTTTATCTAAGGTAATTTTGCAGTTTATTTGTTCCCCCTGAGGTCATCTAAGCAAGAACCAACTTAAACAGACTGGTTCCTAACTTATCTCTTACTGAGTACAAGAATCTTTCAGCAGTGTAAAGTAATCTGTCCCCTGAAGAGGAGATTTTTCCTTGTGCCTTTTGTACTGTACGTTCACCCCCACAAGTCAAGTCGTTTTGATGCGTTCCCAGTGAATCACAAGTTCGTTCATCCCCAGTGAGCTTTCACATGACCCTTGCTTAGATCCATGGCATGTTCAGTATACTCTATGTGAAGGACATTACATGTGCTCTAAATGCCCAACTTACATTGCAGAGTCTAAACCTGTGACTGTAAATATCTGGTGTTGGAGTGGTGTATATATATATGTACAGTGATGACTTACCCTGTTTTCCCCTCTTCCCATACCCCTTGCTGCCCTCAAATTCCTTATGTAAACATGATCTGAATATCTCATAACATGACTTCACCAGTCTTGCGCCCTCCCCTCCTCCACCCACCACACCCTCTTATTTTGGTTTGTTTTGAAATTCATCGAGTCATGTATTTACCTTATCCTTTATTCCCTCAGTCCTGGAAGGAAAAAAATGAACACACAAAGCAATATTTGGCCTCTTTGGTTGCCGACAGTAAGTTTATCTATAATCTTAGAGGTTTCAAAGTCTCTTCTGTGTTTTAAAAGCTGTGTCTTCTAGAATGCAAAAAACAAAACAAAAACAAAAACAAGAAAAAGTGCTGTTAGAAATAATGTAGAGAAGAGGCATATTTCATGCCATGTGAAAAGCTTAATATGCTAGCTTTATAGTTGCTTCTAGCTTAATGGCTTAAATAGACCATGCTCCTGATTCTCTGTTTGTCTCAGAACTTTAGTATGTACAGACCATTTCAGCCAAGTTTTCCAGAATCCAGTTCTTGCAGATGGTCACTAAGTTCAAGCAATTTGTAATAATATGCAAAAGAAATCTGCCATGTTAAGTCACTGTGGTGTACTAATATTAATAATGAAAATTTATGTCTAAAATGGAAAAAAAAAAAATCAACTCAGACTTTCGATTAGCAATGTTGTGTCATTAGTCCATCAGAAAGATTTCACTAAACACTGACCATAGTTTGTGCAATGTTTGGGGAATAGTCCTGCAAGATTTGTCAATACATGTTAGCCATGTGTACTGACCCTGTCTCCTAACACCCAACGGAATGTTTGTCTTTCAGAGTTTTTGACTTTTTGACAGAAGTTAAAGCATCTGACTGGCTTGACAGGCATTTTTAGCCAGTGGCTGCTTTACTTAAGATGTCAAATACTTTAAAAAACAAACTTTTTCCTTTTTACTGATCCGAGTCCTTCACTGTGCTATATTTGTCACTGTTTATCGACACATACACTCCATCTAGGAAAAGTCAATATATTACTTTTATCCAATCTTGATATTTTTGATATTTCTAAAAACAAGATTGTTTTAGACTGACTCTTATTCTCCATTTTTTTTATATATATATAAGCTCAATATTCATATTAATGGAAAGACTTAATATAACAATGAATATTCACCCAATTTATATACGCACACTCACACGCACACTCACACGCACACGCATACACACACGCACACACACGCACACACATGCACACACATGCACATGCACACACAGAAAATACATATCTACCTACCTTAGTGTACAATATATACATTCCCATTTGTGTGCTGTTTTGTGAGACCCTATAATTTTTACCCGCAGTGTCTCCTGCTGTGTCCATGTAAGAAAAAATCTCCAGCAAGAAGCATATCACGGCCGTCGCAAGGAATCCGATGGCATCTGACTCGACTACTACTACAATAGTTCTAGAATTTCATTTTCTTTACTTTTTAACGTCTTCTAACTCTAACTCTAATTTATTCTTTTTATTTTCTTTCTTTCAGTAGATGTAGATATTTACTTGGTAGTAGTAATAGCAGCAACTAGTCACCTAACCCTGTTTTTTTCTCTTCTTGATTAGTCACTAATATACTGTGGCTGTTCATTACAGTACCTGCCAGGATTGAGCAAAAATGGTAAAATCAAGAGGTACCATCTACTCCAGCTTTTCCAATGTCCTCACAGCCAGTAGCCTTAGCTGTATTAACCTACAAGCCGTCAGTGCCATGCCTGTGATGAGCCCAGCACCACCCCACCATGGCCACTGTACCTAGGGGTGCTAGTCAGCAGCTTA